TTGAGAAATCGATATGAGAATTTGTCCAACAACATTTGTATTTTGACTTGAAAGTAATTGAATAATTGAATTATTCGTTATCAAATTTGATGAATTTTGTAAATCATTGATTAAATCATCGATTGATTCAGAATCAATTCGAACATAAACAGATGTTAAATTCACTTGTGTTATACAATTCTCGAGATTTCGAATATGAACAATAACATTAATAAATGATGTTTCATTGATTCCAGCAGGAAATCGAACTTGAAAAGATGATATTGATGAAAATGCGATCAGAATTTGTTTAGATATATCATTTGTCCATACTAAAATTAGTCACAATTCAATTCCATTGATGAAAAAGAAAAGAGATTTATTATTACTATATAATGAATAATCTTTGATTCCATTGACATCGATCCAATTTGAGCAAGAAATTGTAAAAACTGTTGTTATTGTTCCATTTAAAGGGAAAATTGAACATGAACCATTATAAGGAGATTGATTTCGAATAAAATTCAATGAACTTGTACTTGTTGTCGAAAGAAATGTATAAACAACTTCAAATTTCCAAAGATTTATTTGTGAATTGTTTATAAACAAATCATTTGTTATTGTTATTTTACTTGTATTTATTCCTAACACAAGAAAATTTTAGTAAAGAGATATTATTCTTTCTCAAATTATCATCGTCTTCTCTTCGCACTAAAATTGTATTTTAGAGAATGAAGATATTTACCGAAGAACCAAATATTTTCATAAGAATGAATTTGATTAAATAATGTCCATTGTGTTGAATTGACAGATGAACTTTGATAAATATTCCAATAGATATTTTCAATATTTGTACAAGTTCCGATACAAAGAGTAAATAAACTAAGTTGAGTCGTTGGATTAACAAGTTGAAATTCACCATTTGGAGAACATAATGACGAAATAACACAACTAAATGAAAGAATTTTTGAAATATTTCATTAAAAAACGATTTACCCAAGAACAATCAATGGTGGAGTAAAATCAACAATTCGTACAAGTAGATATCCTTTCACTTGAATTGAAGAATTAATTTTATTTTCAAGTATAACCATAAATTGATATGTTTGATTTTGTTGAAGTGAACCGGAAAGAATCGTTAACGATGAATTCGGTGAAACGGTTGAATTTTCAAATCTCAATTCACTGCCAATGCCTTTGTATTGACAAATTTAAATAAATGTATATATGTTAATAAGGAAATATTCACCTGTTCGATTGATTAAACATGAAGGATTATTGAGATCATTTTGAGAATTTTCAATTGTCAGTAAAACACCTCCAATGTTTGGAAAATTATACAAATCATATACTCGACAATAATATGAATATTTCCATTTCTGACGAAAAACGATACAAATGATTATGACATTATCATCATAAGAACAAATCTGATCATTTCAAAAGCAAATGATTGAGACTTACACTGGCATCAAACGAATCTTCATTAGGATCAACAGAATAAACTCCGGGATTGAGAATAAGATCTTGCTGAGTACCATGTGTTATAGCTGATGTTCCCAATTGAAGAAGATTTACTCTGATATCTGATGCAACTATTCTTACATAGATGGACGAAGATGACTTCATATGAGGGAGTTTAGCCATTTTTANTTGAGAAGGCCCCGTTCCGGGACCAGAACCGATGATATTGCTAGCAACGGTTGAATTAGGTTGAATGACAACTATTCGATGGTTGAGCTGATCAGCAACGTAGAGAGTATCGTTGTCTGTAATGAATATACCAAGATTTGTGTATAATAGTGAGGAAGTCGATCCAGCAGTACAAGCTGCAGATCCTGCAACTGTAATCGCATAAGTCGACCAGTTAGCCGCAGGTGATAGAAGCAATGGAGCTAGAAATATATGTACATCTTGAATAATGTAATAAGAAGCGGCAGAAAGGTTGAACGTACAATGATGGGGATGGTTAATGGGGCAAAATACACCGGGAGAAATGAGGTATTTTATGGGCTCCTCCTTAATCCGAATGTGTGGCCTAGTCATATACAGTGTGTATTCGTTTGAAACGTTGCTGGATACAGTTGAACATCGCACTACCCTCCACATTAGTTTTCAAAATCGTTTATGTGCATAGTATATGTTAGTCCACACTTTGTCACATTTGAGGAAAAATTTATTTCGAAATTCGATCAGCGAGATCTTTCACTACTATCACTTGCGTATGATTGTAAAAACAAGTTTTTTCGTGTATACATATGCGGAGGAGATATATCGGCTTGGAGAGTGTGGGTATGTATATGTATAAGTAAAACTAAATCTATTTCTATTCCTCAAGGTGCTAGGAATTGGTCACTTATATTATAAGTCGAATTAGGCAGCTACTCACAAGATCAGTATTTTTCTGTGAATCTATACTACATCACGGGGAACATTTATTAGACATACTTAAGCTAACACCATAAGGATCCCATTGACGTGCCTATGATATGATTAAACGGTAACATATTCTGCAGAAAAGTCGTATTTTACTAATGTAACGCGATGATGCTGTTCTCGGACTAGAGTTTTTGATACCTATTTCAAGAACATTTGTGGCCACATAAAATTAGTGTAGTGTAGTTTGTTTCATAATCGTCCAGAATTAGCATTAAATTTAATATTATTAATAATTTCAATTTCAAAATTATCGGCGACCAATTATATGGAAAACTTATAGGGATCTGGCAACTGATATTTCTCAATTTTCTCCATAAAAATGGACTTGAAACATCAAATCAAGTACATATTAAGAATCAGAATGAAAATCTGCATCGAATCCATAGGATTACATTGAAAAATACAAACATGGATTTTTTTCGAAATTTTGGCACTCATAAAAAAAACGTCATCGCGTTACGAAGAAATTTCACACAGTGTGATCTTTCGGAAACCAAAATATATCTGTTTGAAAGCTCGTAAAAAGTTAGATTTGGATATGTATTTTGAGAAGAAAAACGTTGAACTTTGTTAGTGAAAAATAAACCGTATTGACTTTTCGTAACGCGATGATGATATAAATAGAGTAGTTTTGGGTTTGCTTTCCTATGATAGCGTGATAATGAATAAAGAACTTAATCTTGTGACAAAATATGTATCTACTAAGACAGTCTCAAATTGTCTTGATCAACATGTAAAATATCCAACTGTTTGAATAAATCGACTGAATTCATTAACAATCTATCAGTTGAATTTGTTAGTAGATATTAATGACCTCTATAATCTTAAGAAAAGAATTAGATAAGGTTTACTACGAAGATAAAGAAAACGATCTAGGTTTCTTCATACTATTCACTATGCTCTATAAAATGGCAACTAAGGAGTTTCGATCTGATGACTTCGATATTACACCCTCCGAGGTTATGCGTTTAAGCCGATATACGACTCTAAAAACAAACGAAGAGTTTGCCATCAATGCTTTTATTCTGCAGTCGTATTCGAGTTCGATAGTCGGTGAAAGGTGTATCTGAATATATTATACGAGCGTCATTTTTACAGGCAACCGAGTCACCAGTTTTTTAAAATAATTTTCCTGATCAACACGACCGACAGGAGCTTTGTTCGTTGAATGTGCATAACAATTTTATTAGGTTAGTGGATGATGATTATTTTCTTTTTAGATCTGACGAGATTCGCCTTTTTTACCCGAAGCACACTTAGTGTTCTAATTACGGTATTTTAAGAATTGCGTTCGACTGGTCGGCGTACCCGCAAATCAAAAATAAAATATATCATGCTGTCAAGAATTTCCAGATATATGAAATGGTCAATTCACCCGACCGTAGTAAGAGTCATATGAAAACAAATTGCTTTTTGACTGTCTAAGCGTTTGCATTCGGGTCAAAGGTCAGACGCGTATGTAGTACAAACAACAAATGTTCTCCAGTACTGAAGTTCTATACAAAAAATTGATTATTTCGTGGTCAATAGCTGTAATAATTTGAGTAAATAGATTCGAATCGTTATCTCATACAAAACGACTCAGTCAATTCGTCTCACCATTGATACATACGAAAGCGTATTATCTCTGCCTTTCACAATCGAGTGTTGAATAACTTGAAACAACAAACATTATTTGTATTAAATCCACTTTTTAAAACGTCTTAAGACAGCTGAGATTTGATTTATTGACGAACAATTACACATCTAACCATATCTATTCGCACCGCCTGTCTTTAAGTTTTGGTACGCTCTACCTTAGGTTTAGTGCTTTGCGTTCTAGAAAACTCCGTAATTCGTACCATATTCCTTTTTTTCGTACATTATTTCACTTAGAAAACTGATTCTAGTTGCATTGTACTCACAAATGTACATTTAAATAATCCTATCATTGTACAATTTTAACACTTACTCCATGGAGACCCAACAGAACCGGTAGCAGATGTTGCCACTGTAGTGGTACTAGTTGTAGGGGAGACAACAGATGTTGTTTGTGCTGAAATAAATGATAGTGAAATAAGCCTCTTCAAAAATTGGGTACTTACTGATATTTGTAGTGATCACGAATTTCTGCACCCGATTGTTTCCACTATCACTCACATACAATGAGCCATTACTATCGAATACCACACGAACAGAATAGTAAAACTTGTTTGCAGCCGATCCAGCCGCAGTTCCATCACACGATGCAACACACTGACCCACACATGTCCCGACTAACCATCGAAGAATACGATTATTAAACTGATCGGTGATGTACATATATTCATTCATATCCACGATCACTGCCACTGGATAATACAGTTGACTTAAACTAGTCCCGAGTGTTCCAATACCAGCCACAGTCGTTGCATAACATGCACCGATGATCCAATACTGAACTCGATGATTATACGTATCGGCAATGTACATTGCACCTGTACTATCCACAAACATTCCTCTTGGATTATACAACGCATTCGGTCCAGTGCCTGCAACACCATTTCCTGCAACCATCGTACCGGCTGTTCCACTAGTTGAGTTAGGTGGAAATAACATCACCCTGTGATTTGCAAAGTCAAGTACATAGATATTACCAGAACTATCGACATATATCTGATAACTGAGTCCGATTGTTGTGTTACTGGCAGATGTTCCAGCCGTTGCTGTAATTCCGACAACGGTAGTGACATTACTTCCATTTTTCCACCACTTTTGTACTCGATAGTTCACTGCGTCAAGCACATAAATAGCATCGTTGGTTACAAAAACATCGGTTGGCGAGTAGAATTGAGAAGGCCCCGTTCCGGGACCAGAACCGATGATATTGCTAGCAACGGTTGAATTAGGTTGAATGACAACTATTCGATGGTTGAGCTGATCAGCAACGTAGAGAGTATCGTTGTCTGTAATGAATATACCAAGATTTGTGTATAAAAGTGATGGAGTGGATCCAGCAGTACAAGCTGCAGATCCTGCAACTGTAATCGCATAAGTCGACCAGTTGGCCGCAGGTGATAGGACCAATGGAGCTAGAAATATATGTATATCTTGAATAATGTAATAAGAAGCGGCGAATAGGTTGAGGGTGTGAGAATGAGGATGACTCATGGGACAAAATACATCGGGAGAAATGAGGTGTCTTATGGACTCCTCCTTAATCCGAATGTGTGGTCTACTCATACACAACGTCTATTCGTTTGACACGTTGGTGGATACAGACGAACATCTCACTACCTTCGACAATAGTCTTCAACATCGTTTGTTTGCAGAATATATATTAATCCAGTCGTGGTCACATTTGACGAACAATTTATATGGAAATTCGATCAACCAGAGATTTCATTACTATTGCTTGTGCATGATTGTAAAAACAAATTTTTTGGTGTATATATACGCCGAGGAGATATATCGAGTTGAACGCGCGTAACGCGATGGCGTTTTGGTCGGAGTATTTTTATTTTTTCTCATAGAGCAACAGTCATAAAAAGTTTTCTTCTTCACACTCAAATATGTTCTTGACCCTTCTGTAGGCATCTACAAAAATCAAATCGCTAGGACAAGTTGCTTGGAAATAATGATTGAAATACCTCTCGTAACACGGTGACGAAAAAAGACAAAATACTGACAGTGGTATACAAGATAAGTATTTATCTGCGAAACTATATTACATCAATCAGTGTGAGGCTAGCACGAAGGAGCTAGCACGAACAAACGATGTGTTAGCTAAAAACTTTTTTACTAAATATGTCCCGCCCATGAAAACCACATCATTCGACTCAGAATTTAATTCTGCATCGAATGGTGGCACTTTTATTCACCGGGCAAACTTTGGAAAAATTCTATCTGAATTATAAATAGACCTAAAGGAAACGAACAAAGATATAGATAGAAAATTTTCCAAAGTTTGTCTGGTGAATAAAAGTGCCATCATTCGATGCAGAATTAAATTCTGAGTCGAATGGTGTGGTTTTCATGGACGGACATATTTAGTAATAAACTTTTTACCTTACATATCGTTTGTTCGTGCTAGCTTCACATTGATATTACATCACACGGAACATTTATTAGACATACTTAAGCTAGCACCATAAGGATCCCATTGGCGTGCCTGTGATATGATTAAACGGTAACATATTCTGCAGAAAAGTCGTCTTTTACTAATGTAACGCGATGATCATATAAATAGAGTAGTTTTGGGTTTGCTTTCCTATGATAGAGTGATAATGAATAAAGGACTTAATCTTGTGTCAAAATATGTATCTACTAAGTCAGTCTCAAATTGTCTTGATCAACATGTGAAATATCCAACTGTTTGAATAAACCGACTGAATTCATTAACAATCTATCAGTTGAATTCGTTAGTAGATATTAATGACCTTGATAATCTTAAACCTTAAAAACCGAAGGGGACTTTTGAATGCAGGAAACGAAATCATCATATAAATGGAGCCTCTCGGATATGAATATGCATATATCATGCTCAAAACCGCTGGGTGGTGCTAAAAATGTTTTCCACCCAGACGGCCTGGGTGAAGTATGATCCTAATAACTTTCCGCTTGGGTGGCCATGTAACGTGGTTCAGGACCACCGTGAGTTTATTCTCGTGATATTTTGAGGTACCTTCCATGATTGATTGAGCAAAAAATTTACAATTACCTAGGTTACTATGCTAAAAATGCCTCTAAAACGGTACTTTTTACCACGTCACAATGACTTGTTATAATAGTAAAAAATGTGCATAGTTGTTTTATATTACAGTTTATGATTGTTTCTCATGATATTCCACAAAATCTGTATTGTATATGTCAAGATATAGAAATATCCGCGCACCCAATTTTACTTAAAATCAGACTCGCGCTCGAAGCTATGTCGAAGTTCGCGAGGACTGTTTTGGCGTGATTTTCCTCCGTCACACAATCATCTTGACTGCCTTTGTTCAGGAAAACAGTAGCTTTCATGAATACAACTTAACTCCTCTGTTCAACCGAGATTAATTCAATGTCCCTTGGAAGGGACATCTCGGTTTTTAAGAGTTAAGCATTAGATAAGGTTTACTACGGAGATAAAGCAAACGATCTAGATTTCTTCATACTATCTACTATGCTCTATAAAATGGCAACCAGGGAGTTTCGATCTGATGACTTCGATATTACATCCTCCGAGGTTATGCGTTTAAGCCGATATACGACTCTAAAAACAAACGAAGAGTTTGCCATCAATGCTTTTTTTTCTGCAGTAGTATGCGAGTTCGATAGTCGGCGAAAGGTGTATCTCAATATACTATACGAGCGTCATTTTTATAGGCAACCGAGTCACCAGTTTTTTAAAATAATTTTCTTGATCAACACGACCAACAGGAGCTTTGTTCGTTGGATGTGCATAACAATTTTATTAGGTTAGTGGATGATGATTATTTTTCTTTTTAGATCTGACGAGATTCGCCCTTTTTACCCGAAGCACACTTAATGTTCTAATTACGGTATTTTAAGAGTTACGTTCTACTGGTCGGCGTACCCGCAAATCAAAAATAAAATATATCATGCTGTCAAGAATTTCCAGATATATGAAATGGTCAATTCACCTGACCGTAGTAAGAGTCATATGAAAACAAATTGCTTTTTGACTGTCTAAGCGTTTGCGTTCGGGTCAAAGGTCAGACGCGTATGTAGTACAAATAAAAAATGTTCTCCAGTACTGAAGTTCTATACAAAAAAGTTGATTATTTCGTGGTCAATAGCTGTATTAGTTTGAGTAAATAGATTCGAATCGTTATTTCGTACAAAAAGACTAAGTCAATTCGTCTCACCATTGATACACACGAAAGCGTATTATCTCTGCCTTTCATAATCGAGTGTTGAATAACTTGAAACAACAAACATTATTTGTATTAAATCCGCTTTTTAAAACGTATTAAGATAGCTGAGATTTGATTTATTGACGGACAATTACACATCTAACCATGTCCATTCGTACCGCCTCTCTCTAAGTTTTACTACGCTCTACCTTAGGTTTAGTGCTTTGCGTTCTAGAAAACTCCGTAATTCGCACCATATTCTTTTTTTCGTACATTATTTCACTTAGAAAACTGATTCGAGTTGCATTGTACTCACAAATGTACACTTAAATCATCCTATCCTTGTACAATTTTAACACTTACTCCATGGAGACCCAACAGAACCGGTAGCAGATGTTGTCACTGTAGTGGTACTAGTTGTAGGAGAGACAACAGCTGTTGTTTGTGCTGGAATAAATGATAGTGAAATAAGCCTCTTCAAAAATTAGGTACTTACTGATATTTGTAGTGATTACGAATTTCTGCACCCGATTGTTGCCACTATCACTCACATACAATGAGCCATTACTATCGAATACCACACGAACAGAATAATAAAACTTGTTCGCTACCGATCCAGCCGCAGTTCCATCACACGACGCAACACATTGACCTACACATGTCCCGACTAACCATCGAAGAATACGATTGTTAAACTGATCGGTGATGTACATATAATCATTCGTATCCACGATCACTGCCACTGGATAATACAGTTGACTTAAACTAGTCCCGAGTGTTCCAATACCAGCCACAGTCGTTGCATAACATGCACCAATGATCCAATATTGAACTCGATGATTATACGTATCGGCAATGTACATTGCACCTGTACTATCTACAAACATTCCTCTTGGATTATACAGCGCATTGGGTCCAGTGCCTGCAGCACCATTTCCTGCGACCATCGTACCGGCTGTTCCGCTAGCTGAGTTAGGTGGAAATAGCATCACCCTGTGATTTGCATAGTCAAGTACATAGATATTACCGGAATTGTCGACATACATCTGATAGCTGAGTCCGATTGTTGTGTTACTGGCGGATGTTCCAGCCGTTGCTGTGATTCCGACAACGGTAGTGACATTACTTCCATTCTTCCACCACTTTTGTACTCGATAGTTCACTGCGTCAAGCACATAGATGGCATCGTTGGTTACAAAAACATCGGTTGGCGAGTAGAATTGAGAAGGGCCGGTTCCGGGTCCAGAGCCGATGATATTGCTAGCAATGGTCGAATTAGGTTGAATGACAACTATTCGGTGGTTGAGCTGATCAGCAACGTAGAGAGTATCGTTGTCTGTAATGAATATACCAAGATTTGTGTATAAAAGTGATGGAGTGGATCCAGCAGTACAAGCTGCAGATCCTGCAACTGTAATCGCATAAGTCGACCAGTTGGCCGCAGGTGATAGAACTAGTTGGCCTATTGATTTACGAGATGAGCGTAATGTTAGAAGAAGGTGTGAACGGACGTATAATGCTGACTATAGATCCCACTGAAACGAAATCCTCAAGAAAATCTAGCTGTATGTCAATATTTTGGAATCAAAGCTCTTTTGTTAATGTGCGTCGGAACAGTCGGTTTCAGTTTAGACTGTTACTTTTGTTTTTTCGAGTACACAGGACTATTCGATTCCTCTTTAAATTTTATGTGAAAATGTATGAATTTGACTGATATCAGATGGATTAGCATATATTTGTATTTAAGTGAATTTATCCGAATAAGAAATTGAGAAAAAACAACGGTCTAGAATCGCTTTTCTGACTCTTACTACATGATAAATCTCCTAATTGAAAATATTTCAGTTAACGTAAATTCAACTAAAATTTTGTAAGAAAATTAGTGTATTTCGGTAGTTCCAGTATATAAAAAATCTTTCTTACCGGTAGTTATGTCCAGAGAAATGAATATGAAGAACCAACGAAAAGACTGCATGATCATCCACGAAAGAAATTAATCTCTAATCGCAGTATCTTCTTTAAAGTACTAATACCGTTGAATATTTGTTCGATCTATCCCAATACGAATGAGTTTTAGAACTAAATTTGATTCTTAGCAATACTTGTGTGTTGAAATAATTGTGCAACTGTGAATATTACTAAGTAACTACAATATATAGGCATACTAAGAGAGAAATGTTATACACGGCATGTGAACAAAAAGAAAGAATGTAATTTAAAAGAGTATTTTTATTATTGTGTTTTTCTTTCATTGTATTTATGCTATTTTGGGATTGTTTAGCGCAGTTTGCATATACGCATAAAACCATTGTTGATGACGTGAAACTGCTTGATTTTTAGTGCTAATGAAGTACTTTCTTTGAAAAAGGTGAAGCAAAAGTACAAACCAGATACAAGATGAAAATGCACTGAGAAAAGTAGCAAACAGTACGTTATTTCAAGATACAACATCTACTGTTACATTATATGAAGTCTCGTCAGATACGATTATGTTTTAATGTGAAATCTCTTTCATTTCAGAACATTCCTTCAATGTATTTCTCACTGTTACGAATATTCTTTGTGTAAAAGAAAGTTAATCCAATAAAATTTCTCTTTCATACGCCAATCCTCGTTAGAAATCATGCATGTTGTCAATATAATATTCATAAGATTTGCTTTATAGCTTCTCCACAGAACGGAATTACACGTTCATGTGCGAAAATACAATTAACATTAACATTTTCAGTGTTTATAGAAGTGCAAAAGTCTATTTTTGTTGCTAATCATAGTCATGTGCATATATTTTCGTATCTTAATTGTCATTTTCAAATATGGATATGAAAACTGTTGTTTCTAATTTTATTCTTCGTGTTTTCCTCTTCTTTAACATATGTGAATAAAGTCAAGAACGCATCTGTATAAAAGAAAAGGAAACAGGATACTTTCTTTGTTTTGTTTTTCATTCAAATTCCAATAGTTTCAAGTCTTTTTCATTATTGAAGTAAAAATATTTTCAAGAGTAAGTCACGCGTTTTTACTATGATTAAAATAGTCACCATCATCAAGAAAAAGCTTGTTGTAAAGAGTAACATTCAGATGATGGAAACAAAATTCCAATTCACTGACAATTTCTTTCTCTAAAATAAATAAATAACATCTCATCCACGAATCAACGAACTGAATTTATTGACGATTGATAAATATTGTAGTTACTCCAACTAGATTTCTTTGTCTAAGAAGATATTTTTTCATGGTTTAGTGAAATAAAATAAAGTTCGAAGAAGTAATGGATGCGGCAGTATAGCGAATACATGTGAAATTCGATAATGATACTTTGGAGGGCTTGTAAAAAATGAGATAAATATAAATGTTACATATGGAATACCAAATACCAAAAGTATTGACATAAGTAAAACAATTTGTTTCACCATTTTCAATTCTCTCTCTGCACGAAATGAAATGTTCGCAGCAATTGCATTATGACTGACTGATTTTGTATATAATACTAATTGAAAATAAAGAAATATAGTGATCAATACAAGTATATTGTAAGTACAAGATGATATCCAAATCACGCCGAAATTAAAACTAAATAAGATTTCATAATTTTGATTATAAACAATGTAACCGGTTAGCAATGGAATTAAAGGAAATAATAAACAAAATATGAAAGATACACAAATAAGGAACAATTGTGTTCGAATTGATTGTCAAAATAACTGAGTTGAATAAACAACTGTCGTATATCGATGAAATGTTTGTAATGTAAATGAATGCATCATCATAGCAGATGATGCAGGACTGAAATAACCTCGAAATATGCACAATGAGTTGTAATATTGTAATTGTTTTATGTCATTTTCTAATCGAAATTCGTCTAACCAACATACATCATCTGTATTGTATGACAAGTTCTATCAAAAATCATAATAGATAGGCAAACACAATCGACGATTATGGTTAAAATAAGAGCAAACAATGGTATAACATCAAATGGAATAAACCATGATTCGATAACGACTGAAGTTGAATTATTACCATTCAATATCACCATTTTCTGTTTGTGTTTAAAATTTGTCTGTTGAATATATATGAATTACTACATTGGTATTCTATGAAATATTACTATTCTCTCATTGGTAACAATCTTTTCTTGGCGATGAAAGATAATCCATTTGGGAGAAAAAGAAGAAAACAGTAGATGAAAACTTGTTCGTGATATTTTAATAAAATAATTTCATAGCGTGTCAAAAATCTTCCACTGTGCGAGTTTAATCTTGTTGAAAAAATTGATCTGTACAGAACTTTCTTCTTGAATATTTGTAGTGACAATTTCACTCTTATCATTAAGTGTCATATACATTCAAAAATAAAACACTGCGTTTTCTCAAATACTATTTTAAAGATCTATAGGAAAACTATTCTGCATATTTTATGAAATGTCGTCTGCAGGCATCTAACCATGCGAAGAACATTGAATTAAAACACAACTGACTCCTACTTGAATTATTATGAAAAATTAGAGACGTCAATTTAGAATTGCAGTTCGGTGGATATTCAAAGTATTCAATGTAAATAAGGATAATCTGATAACATTAGCTTATCAAAGCAGAGTATAACACGCAATACATGATTATATTGACGACAAAATTCATCTTAGACATGTATTTTTATGAATATCGTCGACGCAAGTCACAACGAACAATTACAAATACACATTCTCGGTAATACGAAGTATATCGCTGGACTTGACCATACGAATAAGACGCTTTTCTATTCGTATTACAACGGAAGTATATCATAAATGCAACACAATGACATCCGTGTTTAGGAAGACAAGCAACATAGAGGACGATTTACGTATTGTACTACTATAATAAATGGAAGAGAAAACCTGGAAAAATCGAATTCTCAAGAGATAACAAAAAGAAAGAGAGAATGATTCAATTTCTACTTTTGAAAATTATCTCATGTGAAATTCTTTTGAGTATAAATGCGTTTCAAACACAAGGCACGAACGCGATAGAAATGAAGTATTTGATGCATTTATTAAACGCATCTGAAGACACAAATGCAATTCATCTTTTTCCCCAAAAAGCATCCTTATTCTCACACCTTTGATCTGCGTCACCATTCTTCTCTCCTGATAGCCATCTCTTTCACTACGCTTCGAATAGGACATCTATTCAATTTTTATACAAACATTTCGATTGTTCGACGAGTGAGACTAAAACATAGGATCTTTTAATTACAAGTCTACTTACTTAGACCATTGCACTGCGTTGGTTTATCTATGAATAAGTTAAACTTGTGTTTTAAGTAGAGATAATCGTCTAGAACTTATCTTAAACAAAATCAATCGTAAATATATTTGAAGATTAATTAGGAATAATTACGATTTTCGGTACGGTGTCAGTTAATAAAGCTTTTAATTCTATTTCTTATCATTCTGATGAGCGATTCTTAGTGAAAACATCAAATTTTGTTCATATTGTTGATTAATTGTTATTTTCCATAATCTTTTTACTCAAATAGATTTTGTTTTTCATGAATTAGAATTACAACAGTTGATAGAAGATAAGGTCGAACGAACAGGCTAATAGTTTTGACATAAAACAGATAATATTTAGTAGAGTAGATGAATTAAGTTTTACAAAAGAAAGTATTATTGAAAATTTTCTCATTTCAGACGTGTTTGATCCGTTTCAGAGTTACATCATAATGAAATAAGCTCATCGATCATTTTCATCAGTTTTTTCGATACGAAACGAAGGAAATACTATTCGAACTTGATTTTTATCGAGAGGAATTGTATTTGTTAATGTTCGATCACTCGTATTCAAATGAAATGCAATTACTGGAATTAAATTCTATTAACAAATACACTCCAACATCCAACTATATCATCGAAAATAATATCAGGACATACGGTTTCGTGTTATACACACTTATCTATGGAGAGATAAGTACGCAAGACTTTGTGTATAGTTAAAAAATACTTTCAAGCATAAGACCTATACTGATATTAATTACTTTATGGTTGTATGAAAACTCTTCTTTTCTGAATTTCTATTGTCACAATCTGTATAACTTCGGAGAATATCGACTTCGAAATGTTTTGGTTGAGTTTGGAGCATTTATTTTAGCGAACTATTGGGGAATGTGCGCTAGAAGTGAAATAAGAATTTACAGTTCATTTGTGAACATTTCTTTGTGCAACAAACAGTACATTCATATTCACAGGTACGACAGTATTTGTTTTTCTGCAACAAATACAAAAGGATTGCTTTGCTTGTTGACGAAATGTACTTGAAATAATCAGGTATATGTAAAAAGTACTCTGAAAAAAGAAATGTAATCAATCACACGACGAAATAAATGATTATCTACTCACCCCGAAAAAGAAACCAGTTAGAGTATTGATAAAATTGAAGACGAAATACTCAACGCCCTTTTCCGCTGCTTCATTAATAGAAATAGCTGATGATGAATACGTAAAGAAAAAAGCGCTCGGTATTATTGGAATTATTGTGATAATGACTTGGGCAAGAATCATATAACTCAGTTGACGATCAGATCCTTGTAATTGACGTGAGTTCTTCAAGCTGTGCATATTTCGATACGCCAATAAACCGAAGGAAATACAGATAATCAACGGAACGATCGTCAGTGACACCCAGTTGATCACGTATTTCGAATAAATCATCCAAAAATTAGTGTGAATCGCACAGATATTCGCGCTAAACAGTTCCGAGGATAAAGTTGACATCCTTCTCTATGGATAATCAGATGTTTTCTTAACTAACCTTATTATGTCGATGAATAAAAAACATGGAACATTTTCAATCAACCAAAAAGCCAGAAGAACAACAGTAATTCGATAAGCCAATTTAATATTACTCATTCGTCGGAAATTCGCATTTCTTGATGTTACTAAAAATCGATCAACTGTTGCCAAACATTCACATGTCATGGATATACCCAAACAAACGTTAATCAAATAACTTCTCGTTTTACACAAAACAGGCGAAACTAATGTCACATCTTTTCCAATCATAATCGCTAAACCACGTGACAATCCCGTATTCAAAAGATGCACAAACCGAGAAATAGCTGCTATGAGTAGAAAGAATGTACATGGCTGAGAACGATACATATAAACAGTTGAAAATAGAATTGTATTCATTAAGCAACCAAAAAGACTCAATAAGAATATTAGAGGAGCGATATACGTGATAAATATTTGAGTTATTGATAGCCATGATGCCATTGAAAGTCTAAACGAGTCGAAGAAAGTTGAAATCAAATGGGATACATAAATTTTTCAGTACAAATACTTAACAATTCTCAGTCATAAGATCTCAGTGAGTATACAAAAGTTATATATCGAGTATTATTAATTAGTTTCCATTCAAAATTCTACTCACCCGAATGTTTTCTTCTTTGAGGTATTTTTTCCGATAAAAATAAGTATCTGTCTGTTCTTCCTTCGTCGTGTTTCCGGGAAAATACGACAAATAAATTCTTTTCATGTGGTCAGACAAGCGTAACAAATGTAATTTGCTATTTTTAAAGAAAAGTACCATATTGTGAAAGAATTTTAATGATAATACTCCGTGTTTTCTTTTCATAGAATATTTTACA